CTCTTGCTGGATCTCGTGGCCGTTTCTTCCGGCCCTTGTTGGTGCTCCGCACACCTCGGTCTCTCAGGGAGATGCTTGACTTCCTCTCAGCCCCAAGACACTGGCTGGCCCATGAGATGAGAGAGAAAGAGAATGAGAGAGAGAGAGAGAATGAGAAGAGAGAGAGAGAGAGAGAAAGAAGCAGACAGAGTGAATGAGAGAGAGAGAGAGAAAGAGACAGAGAATCAGAGAGAGAATGAGACAGAGAATGAGAGAGAAAGAGACAGAATGAAAGAGAGAGAGAATGAGAGACAGAGAGACAGAGAATGAAATAGAAAGAGAGAGAGAGAGAATAAGAGAGAGAAAGAGAGGGGGAGAGAGAGAGAAAGAGGGGGGGAGAGTGAAAGAGAGAGAGAGAGATAGGAGGGAGAGTGCCTGAAGGACCCCATCCCGTCACTGGGAGTCCGGTGCTTCAGCAAGCGGTGCATGGGTTCATATTAGTGGTCTACGGGATTTAAAATTATGAACTTGGTGTTCCCTGAGGTCCAAAAGGTTGGGGACTCCTGCTCCAGATGAATGTTGCTTATTTCTTTTATCAAGAATTTTCCTAGTCTTGTAGGAGTATGGTATATTTTCCATTCACCATTAGATGGCACCCTTAGCTTAGATTTCAGCGTTGTTTCAAGAGTGATAAATTGATTAATCCAAATTTAGTTCAATTTATGGAAGCAAAGTTGGGTATTCAAGCAGATACAAGTAGATTGTTCCAGCATTTTATAATGCCTTTCCAAAACAACGCCTACCCAGTTTGAAAATACAAGGTCTTTAGCTTTTCTCCCTTTAGTTGTCTCTATGGTTGTTCGCCGCTTTAAGAAATAGTTCTAAGAGTCTCTTTTCCTGGATTTTCCTCTTTTTTTTTCTTTTAAGGTTAGGGTCTAAATAAAAAAGGAATCTTCTCACCCAACCGCAGTCACTGTTCATCTATACCGCTCCTGCACATTTCTTTGCTGCCTTGGCTGTCCCAGCTTTCTGGCAGCTATGATAGCTGCCTCTTCTCCTTGTCGTGGATGAGAGTCTCCTGATAGCTGCCTCTTCTTGTCGTGGATGAGAGTCTCCTGAGTCAAGCAGGAGAGTTGCTGTTCTCTGTGACCTGCAGGGCGCCCCTCTTTTCTTCACTACAGGGTTGGAGCCCTCCCATGGGGAGAACTCAGTGCGGGAGCGCGGAGACTCGCTCCTCACATCTGATCTCGCTGCGATGTTAGCTGGAAGTCCTCTGAAAAGCTTTTTGTATAGAATGCCTATAACTGTCTTATAGAAATACTGATAATAACATACCAAATATTGCTTTTATAATAAATTATTTTGGAGATAACAAAGAGAGAAGATAGGAAATAGATTTCCTTCTATGTGAATGACCCAGTCTCAGATTCCGCTATTTTTAAGGACGTATTATCTAGCTGGATTTTAAGAGTGTTGCCTCATGACCTCCTTGAATTGCTGCATGCTCATAACCCAAAGAAAAAAAGCACTTTAAGAGATCAATTTACTAAATGCAAGTTTAACACTATGGTCTACTTCTACCTGGATAAAAGCCAAAGATCAATAACAAGTGCTGTTCAATTTGTTTGAAATATGATTTTGAATGTGCGGAAGCACAGATAAAACATTTTTTTGAATAATGAAAGTAACGGATTCTCTTCTTTTTCTCATATTAGTGCAACAGAACTGCATCTGCTGATTCTACGTGCATGATGCTTGTAGCTTATAAACCTCTTCAGTTTATAATGTCTCTTGCTATCTCCCTACATGCAGACTGTATGTTCATTCGTGCACAGAAACAGCTGAAAACAGATTCTGAAACACCTCCTAGAGCTTGAAAAAAGATGCTGCTATTTTAATAATCCCAAAGGAGGTGATCTTGCATGAACTGCAATGTCTTTTAAATGATTTCTTTTAAAGGATTTGCCTAGTCTTATTTGTAGTGATTTAACAAAATAAGAGTTGGAAGGGACATTGGAGGACTTCTAGTCCAAGACCTTCCTCAAGCAGGGGATCTTATACCATTTCAGACAAGTGGTTGCCCACTTCTGAAGGCAAGCCATTCCATTGATTAATTGTTTTGACAGAAAATTTCTCCTTAGTTCTAAGTGGATTCTCTCCTTGATTAATGTCCATCCATTGCTTCTTGTCCTGGGTTCAGGTGCTTTGGGGAATATGTTGACCCCTCTTCTTTGTAGCAATGCCTTTAGGTATTGGAAGACTGCTACCATGTCATCCCTATGCCCCACCCCCATTTATTTATTTATTTTTTATTTATTTATTTATTTATTTATTTATTTATTCATTCATTCATTCATTCATTCATTCATTCATTCATTCATTCATTCATTAAATTTATATACCACCCTATTCCCGAGGGACTCAGGGCGGTGAACAGCGAAAGATAAAAATACATGTAATACAAATGTTTAAAAAAACCAATTAAAATATACTAAACACTCTGGTCCCAGATAATTCAAGACATCCCAGTTTAAAATAAAATCAGAAGCAATATAAAGGGAAAGTTAGGCCAGGCCGGCCTGCTGAAACAGGAATGTTTTGAGGGCACGGCGGAAAGTGCGCAGATCCGGGATCTTCTGTATCTCTGGGGGGAGCTCGTTCCAGATGGTGGGTGCCCTCACAGAAAAGGCTCTCCCCCTGCGGGCCGCCAGTCGACACTGTTTGGCTGACGGCACCCTGAGGAGCCCCTCTCTATGGGAGCGTACTGGGCAGTGAGAGGCTATTGGTGGCAGAAGGCGGTCTCGTAAGTACCCCGGTCCTAAGCCATGGAGTGCTCTAAAGGTGGTAACCAAGACCTTGAAGTGCACCCGGAAGACCACCGGGAGCCAGTGCAGCTCACGCAGGAGGAGAGCCACATGGGAGTGCCATGCTGCTCCCATAACTACTATTAATCTAGACATACCCAATTTCTGTAACTGTTCTTCATGTTTTAGCTCCCAGTCCCCTAATTATCTTCATTTTTCTTCCCTGCATTCTTTCTAGAGTCTCAACATTTTTTATAATGTGGTGTCCAAAATTGAATGCAGAATTTCAAGTGTGGTCTTATCAAGGCAGTAGAAATTTATATTAACACTTCACATAATCTTGATTCTTTCCCTCTGTTAATGCAGCCTAAGACTGTGTTAGTTTTGTTGGCAGCTGCAGCACACTGCTGGCTCATATTTAAGTGATTGTCCACTAGGACTCCAAGTTCCTTCTCTCAGTTACTACTATTGAGCCAGTTAAATTTGGTACAGCAAATAAAAAGTGGTTTGAGCAGAGATATTTTTAATTCAAATTTAGCAGAAAATTTTTTACCAAAAAACATGGAGAAGAGAGATGACATTTTAACAGAGCTATTTCATTTTCAGAAACAACCTGAAGTGGTTCAGTGATTCATTGCTGCAGAGTACAGCAATCAAGAGTTCAAACTGAAATGTAAAATATTGTCAGTTTTTATTAGCTTTCTTAATTCCATAGACTGTTTTTCTTAACTTTTTCGGTTAATATTTTGAAAATCTTTTAAATTGGTGATTGTGTGGAAGTTCCTATCATGTTAAGTTGATGCAGAAGTAAAAAAAATATTGACTAGCAAATGATACAGTGAAGCTACTAGTGCTCCTGAGTACGGATGATCTCCAAATATAATTAATCCTCAAACCAAATGAGGTTGAAATTTGCCAATCAAGTTTCTGAATGTGTAAATAATTGCTTTAGAGGTTCCTGTTATATATTACAGGGTTAAAGTAATAGATTTTGACCTTAAGATAAAAAGGGTAGAATAAAAATAATGCCAGAGCTTCTTTAAGCCCCGGTCCACAAAGATAGAAATAGATGTATACTTGTTCAAAAAAAATGAACTTGAAGACTAGGGGCTTTTGTAAAAGTATCCCTTAAGTACAGCAATGCTTATTGTTGTTACAAACTACAAACTACTTAAATGCTTATTGTTGTTACAAACTAGGATGACATGGTAGCTCACGTTTCCAGCATTAGCTTAAAAAAATTGGATTTTAATTTCTGGATCAGGTTACAAAAAGGGATGTTGCTCAAACACTAATCTTTCTGGAGCAAGATCTTTTCCACTGGGATTGGTTGACAGCAGTGGTGAAATTTAAAATTTGTTACTACCAGTTCTGTGGGCATGGCTTGGTGGGGGGGGGGTAATGTGACTGGGTGGGTGTGGCCATTTTTTTTTTTCTTTTTAAACCATCTTTTTCATGTAAAAAATGTTAAAAATGCTTTCAAAAGGCTCTGGCGATCCCAGCAGAGTTGCCTGATCATCGGAGGGTTTTTAAAAATCCCTCTGCCAATCAGGCAACTCAGCTGGGATTGTCAGAGCTTGGATCGTCAGAGCCATTTAAAAGAAAAAACTTTTTTTCTTTTAAATGGCTCTGACGATCCCAGCTGAGTTGCCTGATTGGCAGGCAACTCAGCTGGGATCGTCAGAGCTTGGATCATCAAAGCTTGGATCGTCAGAGCCATTTAAAAGAAAAAAAGCCTCTGATGATCGCACGGCTCAGCTGGGCATGGGGAGCGGGGGCAGGGATTTTTGCTACCGGTTCTCCGAACTGCCCGCCGCCATTGCTACCTACTCACCCAAGCCGGTCCGAACCGGGAGCATTTCACTCCTGGTTGACAGTCAGATTCATTTGATTTACTTGATATTCTTGGTCATGTTGATTAAATAAAAGTTTGGGGACGCTTTAAAAATGATCTCTCCATTGTTCTTTAAAGTGGAAGTATGATTAGCTTATGATTTTAAATAATTATCTTTAAATTAAAAAAGATGAGATCTATATTCCTTTGGATTCATTTTACATTTCTATTTTTTTAAAATACTGAAGTACTTTTAAAAAAAAAAAAACCTTTCTCTATATGATAAGGTCATCTATCATCCCTGCAGTCCCTATCTTGAAAAATTATGGCTCCCACCAAATTGTCATCAGTTTTATTCATTTGTTTTTTTCTCCTCTTCTTAGAACTACGCAATGATGCTGCAGCAGCAGGCTAATCAACATGTGCAAAACACCACTGATCAGCCTGATTTTGGAGCACATCTCACAAAGGAGAAACTTAATGCCTTTCGAGATGAGCAAGTTGGACAGCTACATGAACTAATGCAAGAGGCCACCAAACCCAAGAGGCAATTCAGTATTTTAGATGATGGAGACAGCAAACATTAACACATTTTTTGAATTTCATTTTATGATGTTCCTTTTTTTGTAATATTTTCAAAATGGCTTTACTCTAAAGAATAATGAAAGATGGTAAAGATATGCATAATGAATTATCAAAAGTAGCTAGTGTCATCTACATATTATGTACAGCCTGCACTAAATGTTTAGAATAGTTCAATATTTTGGAATATTTCAGCTGTGTTAAATTTACCATATGCAGGAAATAGAATTAAAATGACTTTGTACTAAGAATGTATTTTGTGGATGGTCAGAACATCAGAGAGGGAAGACCTTTGAATTGCATATGGATGCGTTCAAAGTTTAATAGTCATTTTGCTTTTGAAAAATAGAATTCAGGTGTATGTATTTAACATAATTTATTGTTTGATTCAAGTGTCTTGAAGATCATATGAAATTATGCCTTTGAATTTACTTTTAAATACCAAAATCTGCCTTTTTTTGCCCAATATTTCTTTCCTGCAAAATAAATTTTGGTTTTTCTATTTCATTTTAAAGCACTAAAGTAGCAGATGGCATTGTTACTCTTTCTGTGATGCACCTTCGCATCATTCTTCAGCCTCCCATTCTGCTCTTGCTTCCTGTTCTGATAAAAGTTCCCTTGCCATGTCTTCCCTTGAGATTTAATTGGAATATAACAAGTCAAGCAAGCTCCAGACTGCTGGGAAGAGGATTGTTCAGTGCGAGAAGAATATCTGCATACACAGTCCAGCTGTTTCTTAACTAAAAAAAAACTCGAAGAAATTCTGCATCCAAGTTTTAAGAAGAGAAGTTCCTTTTATTTAATATGCACAATTCTCTAGAACCCAATAAAACTATCCTTGTTTAAAAAATTTTATGCTCTGGCTATTGTTTTTTAGTATACTTCCAGTTTTAAACAAATCAAATATGAATTCAGAGCTTGTGAAAAACAATCAGGTTTTATAAGTGGCAACTGGAAGTAAAAAAGAAATTGATCTCTGTTTATATCAATAATGCTACACATAATTTTTAGATGGGTATCTGTTAGGGCTTGATAAAAACTAGTGACTATAGTGATGACTTTGACCCAGAAGATCTAGATTCAGAATAACAGAGTTGGGAGGGAAGTATTCTAGTCCAATCCCCTGCTCAATCTGGAGACCCTATTCCATTTTAGACAACTGACTCATCAGATTCTTCTTAAAAGCCTCCAGTGTTGGAGCACTCACACCTTCTGAAATCCATCTTCAGCCATGAAAGCTCAGTGAAAGTCACACTAAAGTAGAATAGAATAGTTGGAAGGGACCTTGGAGGTCTTCTAGTCCAACCCCTTGCTTAGGCAGGAAACCCTACACCACTTCAGACAAATGGTTATCTAATCTCTTCTTAAAAACGTCCAGTGTTGGAGCATTTACAACTTCTGGAGACAAATTGTTCCACTGAATTGTTCTAACTGCCAAGAAATTTCTCCTTAGTTCTAAGTTGCTTCTCTCCTTGATTAGTTTCTTCTTGTTCTACCCTCAGGTGCTTTGGAGAATAGTTTGACTCAGGTGGGTTCCAGCAAGTTCTGACCAGTTCTAGAGAACCGATAGCGGAAATTTTGAGTAGTTCGGAGAACTGGTATATACCACCTCTGACTGGCCCCGCTCCATTTATTTTCTGCCTCCCAAGTCCCAGCTGATCAGGAGGAAATGGGGATTTTGCAGTAACCTTCCCCTGGAGTGGGGTGGGAATGGAGATTTTACAATATCCTTCCCCTGCCACACCCACCAAACCACACCCACCAAGCCATGCCATGCCCACCAAACCACACCCACAGAACCGTAGTGGGTAGTAAAAATTTTTGAAACCCACCACTCATTTGACTCCCTCTTCTTTGTGGCAAAACCCTTGAGATATCAGAACATTCCTATCATGTCACCCCCAGTCCTTCTTTTCATAAGACTAGACATCCACTTCCAGCAACAGTTATTTATATGTTTTATCCTCAAGACCCCTAATCATCTTTGTTGCTCTTTGCACTCTTTCTAGAGTCTCAACATCATGTTTACATCATGGCAACCAAAACAATTCCAAGTGTGGCCTTACCAAGACATTATAAAGTGGTATTATCACTTCCCGTGCTCTTGATTCTATCCCTCTGTTTATACAGCCTAGAACTGTGTTGTCTTTTTTGGCAGCTGCAGCACACTGCTGGCTCATATTTAAGTGATTGTCCACTAGGACTTCAAGATCCCTCTCACAGTCACGACTATTGAGCAAGATACCACATATACTGTACCTGTGCATTTTGTTTTTCTTGCCTAAATGTAGAACCTTACTTTTTTCACCATTAAATTTCATTTTGTTAGATAGCGCCCAATGTTCAAGTCTATCAAGATCCTTCTGTATCTTAAGCCTATCTTCTGGAGTATTGGCTATTCCTGCTAGCTTGGTGTCGTCTGCAAATTTGATGAGTTCCCCATCTATCCCCTCATCCAAATCATTGATGAACATGTTGAAGAGTACTGTGCCTAAAACAGAGCCCTGGGGTACCCCACTATATATCTCCCTCCATGTAGTTGCATGATGTACTTGTCATGATGAACATGATAAATTAAAAACAGGCAGAAAAAAAGAACCATTTTTAACTTTGACAATAGTTTGTCCAAGATTTAATTATTTCTTTTTTGCATCCCAATTGAAAACACTTCGCATGCTGATTGAACATGGTCTGAAGATTTAGGGAGAGTTTCCATTGATACTAAAGTTTGTTTTTTTTAAAAAAGAAAAAGCTCCAAACCAGTTATAGGAAACAGGTTTTGTTTAAAATGTGAACGAGGATAAGAAGGTAAGCCTCCTTTGCTACATGTTTTTGGAACAAAAATCTCTGCCTTCTTGTAATTAATTATTGATACTAATTAAGAAAAGAAATCTCACTGCATGACAAATATAATGTATCTTTTGGCTTTCAGACACCAGCATGATTCTGATTTATATAACCTAGGTTTATGGGTGGAATAAATAGTTAGGCCATTTAGTGTCACCATCCAGAAGCATGATCTGCTCACAAATTTCAGGAGATTGTTGGCTTGTAAGTACTGTTTGGAGGATGGTATCCTGGAGTATGATAGCAATATTTTCCCATGTGCTTCATATCTTAGCATCTCTCTTGACATTCAGTTGATGTGGGTGGGTTGTCCAAGATATTATATAGAGATCATGGAAAAAAGAAATGAAAACTCATTTGCCTAGTCTGAGCCCTTTATCATTCAACATTTATTAAAAACCTCTCAACTATTGTAAATGGAAATAAGATTTTTTCCAGCATAAAAAAAAAGTAATCACCTATTTCCAATCTTCCCCTAACATTATTTTGATCTTTCTCAAAAACAATAATTTCACTTTGAATTCCTATTTTAGAAATGATTTGGTGTAGAAATAACTTCATTGCAAGATTAAAATAGAAGTGACAGTGATTAAAATAGCTGAATATAACATTAGTTTCCATTAAAATGTCAAAAAGTACAAGTCTCCTGAAAATTACTCCAAGTAATTAATTCAGTTTTCAATTTTCTTTTAACTGAGTGTTAGCTAAATATGTCGTTCTTACCTAAGACAATTTTATGGTAGTTATTTGCCATTTTTAGGGGGATTTTATTATTCTTTACCAAGTAGATAAGCAGGATCCAGATACTTTATTTCCTCAGCTAGAGAAAGATCACTATATTTCCAAATTACTGGAATATACAACAGAAAGAACTAGTTTGTACATTTAATTTAGATTTTCATCTTCCAAGCAGTATGTTGAATTACCTGTACTTATTTTAGGATGGGATAGACAGCATTTTGATGTTTCATTTCTGTTAAGGGAGAATTCATTGATGGTTGTAGACTTTATAACTTTAGTAGGTAGCGCTGAAATACTGGTCCTTTTGTGTTAATGGTGGGAATTTAAAAAGTAAATGACTATATTAATAGGCATTAAGCCCTTATTTTAGCAAAAAAACTGTAACAGAAACTAACTAACCAATTACCCACAGGATATTTATTTAGGCAGCTGTTAATTGCATCCAGACCACGGTTTATTCATTTCAATCCATAGATTGGTTACTGGAATGCAAATCAAATCTTTAGGCTGAAGAACCAATGATCAAACACACAAGAACACAGTATAACCATTGCTGTTATTACCACTGTTGGAAGAAATGTCCATTTGGGTTCAGTTTCCCCAGTTCAGTGGGGAAAAAGACACTGGAAACATGGAAACATGGAGATCACTTGGAAAGATGGTGGACAGGATCACATGCCTTGATGATGTTGAGTGAAAGAGAAAAAAAGGGCACAGATGCTGAGAGTGCCTCAGTTTTATGCCCTGTCTGGGCTTTTGAATTTGAGCTTGTATTCTGACTGGTTGTCAGACTCCCATGGGGCCATGCAGGGGCAACTCTATAGTCTGTCCTGGGTCCCAAGCTTGGTTGAATCTTGCTGGATAATGATGTAATGAAGGCAGGGGTGAAATGCTTCCAGTTCGGACCATATCGCCCGATCCGGTAGCAATGGCGGCTGGTGGTTCGGAGAACTGGTAGCAAAAATCCCTGCACTCGACCCCCATGCCCAGCTGAGCCACGCGATGATCAGAGGCTGTTTTTTTTACTTTTAAAAGCATTTTTTCTACAACCTCTTCGGCTGAAAAAATGCTTTAAAAAGTACAAAAAAAAAAAGCCTTTGATGATCGTGCGGCTCAGCTGGGATCGTCTGAGGCTTTTCAAAGCATTTTTTTCTGCAACCCCTTCGGCCGAAGAGGTTGTAGGAAGAAAAATGCCTTTAAAAACCTCTGGCAATCCCAGCTGACTTGCCTGATTGTCAGAAGCTTCTAAAAGCATTTTTTTTCTGCAACCTCTTCAGCCGAAGAGGTTATAGGGAAAAAAAATGCCTTTAAAAGCCTCTGGCGATCCCAGCTGACTTGCCTGATCGTCAGAGGCTTCTAAAAGCATTTTTTTCTGCAACCTTTTAAATTGTACAAAAAATGCTTTTAAAAGTAGAAAAAAAAGTTGGCCATGCCC